GAGCAGGTCATCTGTGCAATTATCAGCGCCTAGAGTACCAGGAATTGCTTGGTCACTATCTCTGCCATTTTTTTGTGGTCACACCTCAACAGTTCCTATAGCTTCCAACAGCATCGTTACCATTCATCGCTGTTCGCCCATTCTGGAGTTCCGGCGTTGTCCACTTTGGCCATGGCAAAGTGATACGGACGAGCCACAGCTCATAACTGGGCGTCCGCGTGACGCACCCCAATGGCCCTACTTTTTAGCCGTGATGCAGGCACGCATAATTAAAGTGTGTAACGCCAACTCCCCCAAGAGGAGTTGCTTGGCGGACGCTTCCCTACTTCATTTCCATTTCCTACTGATACCCACCACCGTGAGCACCATCCTTCATCGGTTGGGCCGTTATCGCCAGTGCAATTGACAAGAGGAATCACTGCAAATGGTCCATGCCAATGCTTGATCATTGCCCATGCTTGTCCCTGCATATGGTTTGCACCTATACCAATATCATCTCTTCCTCCTCAATGTAGCCACGGTATCACGCTATTAAATCGGCTGAGCGTGTCTGCTAATCATCGCTCATCTGACCCGCCCCAAAGGCCCATCCTGGCAGCCCCCATCGAGATGATACGGGATGCATTCTTCGCCCATACGCATTACACTGGCCACCTGGCGGTTTATGGCACCCTAGCAACAGCCAAGGACGAACAACGACGATAGAACACTATCTCGCTATCAGTGCGTTCGTGGCCATCGACCAACTAAAGGAGCTGAATAAACCAGAGACCTGGGCTTATTTTCACCCTTTGCTTTGAACCATTCCTGCTTCAGTCCACTGTGTGCCATGCAGGCCAAAAGCGTCATTGCTTCCCCAATGCCTGCCAGCTGGAAGACACCATCCGTAAGGCCACGGCGATGCTCAGCACATGTGTTAGTGTGTGGTGAGGGAGCAGATGCTAAAACCGGTTTAACCGCTGTTTGCCTAGCCATCTGCATCAGGTAGCCTAGACATTGAAGCCACACTCTTTTATTTTTCTTTAAGCATCTCGGCATGGCAGAACCAGGAAGGTATCACGGTGAGAGGTCAGCTGCTGGTCGACCCCAATGCACTATTATCACCAAAGGTATCCAGCAATGTGGTGCATGTTTCATGAGCCAGCTGGTCGTCAGGCGCTACCGCGTCTGCCACATTCTCCAATCATTGGTGTTAATTTATTGTTTAGACAGCGTGCCAACAAGACAAAAAAAGAGGATGGACAAGGGGAGCGCTCATTGCACGGCCTATCTATTGCCTGGCCCGTTGTTTATCTCATTGCAGTCCCAAGTTTTTTTGGCAGTGCTTGATTAGTGCTACCAAGCAAAATGGGCGCAAACGAATGGCATGTGTACCGCACATGATCAGGCACTTATCATGGCTTGGAGGGATGACAACGCCTTGTGCCACTTTGTACGCCAAGTAGTCATACTGGCTGCACAGTCAATTGGCGATGGCCCCATCGCATGCTTGAAAATCGAACCGATAAATATGTCTAGGAGCAAAGGCATGGCTGGGCAATAACAGGTGGTGCAGGATCAGTGACGGTAACCAAAAACGGGCCATTCAGGGTCATCCGATCTTTGGCTGCTAAATCGCACTGGTAGGCCTCGCCAATTTACTCCAACGGCCATATCCATTGATACTATCAAATACGTAGACATATCGATATTCTCAGCGCGTAGGGCCCTACACGCTTTACCCATGGGCTACGCGGTGGTTCGTGAAACGCCGCCATGAGCGCGTGAGCTAGGGCATTGTAAACCGCGCCATAAAATAAGGGTCGGCTGGCCCAACAGGGCTAAACAAAACAAAGGAACCAACGAACCAACTCTGGCCGCCTGTTCCTGTTTTGGAGAGAAAAAGGGAAGGATGATTAACCTCTCCTGCCGAATGTTTGCTTCTCTGCATCGGCTAATGTGGTTTGGCTACACTGGGTTTTGGCCATTTGGCCGGGCTGTTAAGCCAAAATTGGGCGGTGCGGTTGACGTGGTCACCTCCAGATAATCAGGGGTCCTTTCGGTACGGGCTAAACTACCGCCACGTAGTTCCAACAGCCGTGACCCGCAGGACGGACAAAATTAGCAAACGCTTTGACCATACACTACTTGGCCTCCGTTTCATCGATGAATTGTCAGCACGGGGGGGGGAGGGGCAATGCTTTTTGCCAAGCCATGCGTCATTCGGTGCATATGTGCAAATGTTGTATTATTATGGATAAATCATGCAACTTTCGAGGCCATGCTTCCCTTGGCCAGCTGTAACTGGGGCATTTCCTCCACATACGCACATAACTAGAGCGAAAGTGAGAGAGAGAGAGAGAGAGCGACCCATTCTTACCTGTTTTAGCCCGACTAACTACGTCTCGCCAAAACACCCAACAATGGCTTCGGAGCCGAGGACCTACACCCAACGGTGACAGTGGTTTGGTCGCTCTCAGCTTCCCAATTCTACCTACCGCCGCGTGGTCTGAGAACATTATTGTGCCTAGTAAGCTGAAATGAAAAAGACTCGCCATGGTAGCGGTGCTACTGTCGTGCAAAGTGTAATCATTTTCAATAGTAGCATTTTTCTCTCTTTCTTTATTTTGGAATTTACGTACCTACATGGTCAGTCAAGGCGATGTATATAGATTTCCGGGACCTTGGCTGACTGGTAGCTTCCAACCTTGAGAAAATTTGCTTAGAGAGAAAATATCAGCTCCCATCACGCTGTGAATGAAGCTTAACCATAAGCGGCAGCGGCGATGTCTCTGGTTCCAGTTGAAGGTCTTAGTACTGGCTCACAGCTGTATGCATGGACAACTGGGTTGAGCGCACTTTGCGATGCCATGACGGTCAATAGCCCTAACAGCCAGGTGCTACAATTTATTTCCATTACTGAACCAATACGCTCCTTGATTTTACGTTGGTTTGCCCTACCGCTGGCTATTTCATACTCTTTACTTGTTTATAACAGGGGCAGCAACCAAAGCATGCATCCCGGGAATAGATGAGGCGAAGTTCAAACCAAGTGATTAAGCTGGGGGCTCACCACTGCGGTTGGCTTCCAGTATGAGTCATGAGATGGTCAAGTTGCAGACAACGCACATCGTCACTGGCTTGAAGGAGAGCGGGTACCCTAGCTCCCAAGAATCATCTAACCTAATCGTCTCTATGCCGCTTGAATATCAGCATAGCGTACGGCACTGGTGCAGGTCAGCGAGTTATGACAACCATTCAAGGCCAGAGCGTACACCAAATCCGAGCCGTGCACATTGGCAATACTTGGCCAATCCCTGCGGGGTGTGATCCACATTCTCCCACCTGCCACCATTTGCTCCTCATATTGGGGCTGAGACTAAACTAACGCCGATGCAGCCGCATGCCGTGGATGTGGGAACAAAGCAGTTTTTTGGGCTGTAAGTCGAGTGATGAAACACAGTATACATTTGTGTGTATGGGTGGGTATGAAGTGGTTGCAGAAAAGAGCGTGGATGAGAAAAGGTGTTCAGTGTGCATGTAAAAGGTAGCGTGTTATACCAATCTGGCGTTGGCACTGCCCATTCATGGTAATGAAATCACTACTTGAAAGTGAGAAGGGGTGGCTGGTCATTGCAAAGTTTACTTCCTCTTCCCTTATGACTACAAAAACGCAAAGGAGGGAGGGTGCATGCATAGCATCTCTCTTTCTCATGTGCAATGGTAGCAGAGCTCCCAAAGATGCAACAAGTTTGTGTCCCTTTTTTTCTTTATCTAGGATACAGCCTCAAGGTCTATTATCTGATTACTGGACTTCGTTCTTATGTCCGATAAAGTGTGTGAGCCTGGTCAACTGTTCAGCTCGGGGTGCCGAAATCTGCACCATCTGCGCCTTCATTAGAATATGTAAATTACAGCTAAAAAACCCGGGCTTAGCGCAGCGTCTGAACCAAGCTGGCAACTTGAGATATAATACCTTGAAGTAATCGTGTATGTGTGCTAAATCTTTGGAGCAAGGTATGATGAAAGCTTCACAACTAAGCCAAGACAGCCACCATGGTGAGTTCTGCAATTAATATTTTTCATTTGTTTTTCGGTGAGCGGCCAGCCAGGCAATATTTAAGTGCCATTGTAATTATTAAAGAAGATAAAGAAATGAATAAAACGACGAACAGGAGAATATTTCAGCTCAATAAACAAAATAAAAAAAGAAAAATGGTAACTGTGGGGTTCGAACCCACGCCTCCATTATGGAGATCAGAACTTAAGTCTGACGCCTTAGACCGCTCGGCCAAGTTACCGTCATAATCTCATATGTGTCCAAAAATTGTACTTATCCCTTGCGCTTTTTTATTTTATGTCAACTTTTCATTACGGTATTGCACGAATTGGACTATTTTCTTTTGCCGTTAATTATTTATTGCCTTGAATTGTTTCGTGATGATTGCTAGCAAAATCCCCTTTTTACGGCTTAGCTGGGGTAGTCCACAGGTTGCATTGCAGTGGAGTATCCTTGGTAGCAGCCATAACCTGCAAAGAACCGCGCACCAGGTTGTCATGGATTGCCGTAACGGTTTGCGTGGCATCGATCAACTGCCAGTTGGGCTCCTGCAGGGCATGAAATATTTCCCGAACTCTGATTTGCAGCGCCACTTTCTCATATCGCTCGTCGCCAAACCCTCCCCGCTTCATGCTCTCCTCAATGGGCATGTCCAAAAAGAAGGTGGCATCGGGGACCAACAAACCCACATCGGGCTGCTTGCACCAGTGGAGGTCCAGACCCTATAGATTGATGAATGATTCCATGGCATGATGGGAATCAAACGGTTGCAGCAATAAAAAGGCGTGGCGTGACACCAGTTGGTTAGTAAAAAAGGGTTCACATAAAATGATCTGGTACCAAGAGCTGAGCACTACCACCCGTGTCTAACCAGTGTAGCTCAGCGAGTATTTTGCTGCAACCAATTACAAGAATTGCAGCTTTGATTCTGCACAGGCCTCATTCCAAGCATGTTAACGCACGTACCTTGGCGGCCGAAAAGGCCACACCCGAGTAGGCGTAGCGGTCAACCACCAGGGTGGTGCCCTGGAGTAGATGTGCCTTGAGCGTATCCATAGCTTCCCAACGATTCGCCGAAAACAGTAGGTGAACGGTTTGGTCGTTCAAGTCTTTGCCCTGGGCCAAGTATCCATGAATCATTTGGCCAATGCCCGTGGTGCGATCTACCCTAGCCCACAGGCGTCCAAGCCGGGAGTTATCTGTACCCAAGTTGCTTGGATTAATAACGTGATGCCTGAGTTGGCGTCCGCTGTGGCGCTGGTGCCAGTGCACTCGCTAACCACTGCAAATATGCATACACAGGCACACTTACCAGGAAACTTCCATAGCCGCGCCTGGTGCCCTCGTTGGTTTAGTGCCGCCACCAGCTTCTCGGCCTGGGTCGATTTGCCCGTACGGTCACACCCTTCTAACAGGATAAATGCTCCGCGCTGCAGTGTGGTCGACTTGGGCATCATCATGCTGGTAGTGACCTTTGAAAATAGTAATAATGGGGCTAAAGGATGGATTGCTGGGGTCGATGGCGGAGCAATGAGCGCATGGCGACGCTGAAGTCTAACAACGGTCACCAGATTTCAAGCAGGCTGTTACTGGAGCCAATCCACGCACACAATAACAAAGTCGGCGGTAAACAAAACAAGGCCGAGCCAGCACAGCGACCGGTAGTCGTGTCTGCAGCGTTGGCTTGAGTGGGGTTGGGCGTTACCGGCAGCGCAGCAGTGGAGCGGGGGCGGGAATGCCCTAGTTGCTGTGGATGCCGTGCTGTTCCTGGACTAGCTTCTCCTTGGTGTGCGTTCTCTTCACTGCAGATGCAGCTGCATTCAGGAGGTCGGACGCTGCTAGCCATGCACGACGCTGGCGGAAAAATGCCCTCTACCAGCTGCCTACCGGTGCAAAGGGACCGGTAATCGGCGGATACGACGAGGTCAGGTGCTGCTCAACTGGTCTCGATTGACCGAGCTTTGCATGGCTTGAGTGGTTTATTTTTCCAACCAATGCCCGGGATCATCCACCACGCTGCCTGTGCTGGGGCAGTAACTAGTTCCTGCTGGTCCGGCAGGCACCACACTCGAACAAAAGTCCAACGCCTTATGCGTCTGGCTGCCGTCGCAGGGGGGAGGGATTGATGCCCACCCAAAACAACAACACCATTAGCGACGCGTGCCAGGCCAAGGCTGTTCGAGAGTTACTCGGGTGCATTTCCGTAGCGCAAGTTCTCCGATCGACTGACAGCACGCCTGCATCCTTTTCTATCTTTCTCTCTTTTATTTTTCTATAGTACCTTAAGGCGGCTGCGTTGGCCATTTACTGTGACCAGCCAGTGCAGCTCTGGCGGTGTCTCGGCACGCGTTCACTGGGCTAGTACTTTTTGAGGTGTAATCGTTGCATTTGCTTACCACCGCTAACTGGTTTCGCATCCCAAGACCTGCCGACGGCTGCGCGAAGCAGCGGAGCAATTGACAGATAATGTGCATTTCTGACGTTTTTAGTCGGTCTCCCCTTTTTTCTTATTCGTATTGGTAAACGCCACCGAGCGACGGCCAGTCTACCATTGCCAGTACAGTGGTATTGGTGCTCACCTATTTCATCACCTGGATACGGTATTGCCCCGGCAATGCAGGCGTCGGCGGCGCAATATCCAGTGCGCGGTGGCCCAGATAACTTTGCACTCTCATGTAAGTAGTTGCGAAATTATTATTGTGATGATATCTAGGCGCATCGCGAACAAGGCGTGAGCACACATATCATGTGCCTACATCGGCCCGCTTTCAGACTGAGCCCTGGTGCTGCAATAGCCATCAATCTCAACTGTAAAGTACTCGCTAGATACTGACTCAGCCTTTGTCATTGCAACCTTTGATTGACTTACGGCAATGCCTTTGTACCTGACATGTCCCAGTACACCCCTCGTCTCCCCTAACCCATTCCGCACCGGATTCGCTACCCATGGGCGACTCTGGCAACCTGGAAACCCTGCGTGCATTGTTGGCAGACAAAGAACGCGAGCTTGAAATGGCTGCCCAAATTGGGCTGTCCTTGGCTGAGCAAAACACCACGCTGCAAAACCGTGTCCACCAGCTTACCCAAGCCGAAACCAACATCATGGAGCGCCTCCGCAAGACCGATACCGACCGTCGCCAGTTTTTGGACAAGGCGTACCAAATCGACGATCTTTGCCTGCAGGTTCAGCTGCTTCGAGAGTCCTTGCAAGATCAGCAACAAGCCAGCCAACAGTATGAACGCACCTGCCAAGAGCTCCGGCAGGAGAATCGGTGGCTAAAGGAAGAGGTAAAAATCCTAACTGACCAGTTTTCCCAGATTGAGGTTTCATACGAAAAGGCATCACACAGTAACCACAAGGCCCTCCAGCGGCTCCATCAGCTCGAATCCACACTTGATCAGGAGCGCGTTCATATTTCCGACACCAGTGCCAAACTGGACCGGTTGGTGGACCGGGTGTCGACGCAAAGCACTACCTTAGGGCAAAGTCTGCGATCGCTGCAGGACCACCTGGTCCACGCTTTACAATCCATCGAGGTGCTCAAGGAAGAAGTCACCGAACTGCACCAGTGCAAATCGGAAACGGACTCAGAATTGGAGCGCGATTATCGCAGCTACCAATCGTTGCTGGACCAGGCCCAACGCACCATTGAAAACTTTCTCGAGGTTCATGCCATGCTGCCGGATGGCCTGCTAGCTTCATCGCTTCAACCCCTGCACTCGCTTCAGTCTGATCTCTTACCTGCTGCTAGTGGTGGGCAAGGCGACTCGGCCCTATCCCTGGACGGTCTGCAGAGGCTGGCGGTTTCCAGTAGTACTGGTCCAGGCTTCCCACAGGCATCCTCGACCCCAACCTCTTTGTGTGCTACGCCTTCCACTCCCCCCGCAGATCGGGCGCAATTTGGTCAGTTGCTGTCCATTTTGTCGTCACCTCGGTCAGTTCCGTCGGTTGCGTCCATTGCTGAACCGTCCAGCCCTACGCAAGGCAACCCAGAGGCATTTGACAGCTTGTTCCAGCCGCCTAACAAGGTGGGTCTTCGTGTGCTGCGCTACCTGTCTCGAGCGCCGCCGCGGACGCCTCTGTCGCCAGATCCCACATCGATGGAAGATTCCAGTCCTGACCCCGCGTAGTAGGAGCCTTTTTCTCTCGCCTTATTTGCTTTATAGTTTAACTGTACGAATAACCAACGCGCTAATTATCTACACCCTTCTTTACCCCTGCGCTCATAACCCTGTGGTCCACACGAGAAGCCAGATATGACTTTTATTGTGATTTAACTCGAAACCTCTTCACGCGCTATCTTAACTCTCATCAAGCGGCCTTTTGGCGCAGCGCTTGGCTGTTTGCTCATGCCTTTTAATTCGTACCGGTGGGATGAGAAGGGCGTTGGGTGCCCACGTTAGCGAATGGTGAGCTGCGACATTGATACTGTGCACATTACCAGGCGAGAGCTCGCCTTTATTTCAATTTGGCTGCAAGTATAAAGGCCTTTGCTATGAATAGTGCGGCACACTACCAATCACTGCGATGAAGGCAGGTCATTACAAGGCCAACAACACGGCTGTCGCACCAGTGCTGCGGTGAGAATGGTGATTGGTGGCGTTCTGTATGACGCTTATTCCACCAAATCAGGCATAAAATAGCAAGGGGCGTATCCGGTGATACGAAACAGGCGCTACGCATACGATCGCTGGTCAAACGGCAGCGGCATTCCACATGGCAAAACAAAGAGACAATCAATAGATTTGTGTGTGTATGTGTGTAGAGATGGGCCCTGAGATTGTGACCGCTGCTGTTGACAAAGCCAGCTCTGGGGCTTTTTTCTAGACACCAGCGCTCACCACATAGCCGGCTATGGCGACTGGTACCGCTGTAGTGCAGAGAAGAAGCCCTCCTCGGTAGGCGATGCCCATAAAGATAAAGAAAATAGAGCAGCCAATAATCCCTTTGGCAGAACAGCGCCTCTTTTCGACACCTCGTAGGGCTACCCCCATGTATGCAGGTTCCGACTGGCTCGTCGGCGCTGGTACAACCGTGTCTGACATTTGATGATTTCGACCAAAGGACCGATAAGGTTTTTGTTTTGAAGTTTTTTTGTACATCTTTCGTGCTAGTTTGCACCCACAGACCAACGTGCGCCCATGGCTAATGGGTGATTGGTAAATACCCATCGACAGCAGCCCAAAGCTCTGAGTAACCGCAATGGCTTGTAAATAAAAAAATCCCAGATACATTTTATG